CAAAAATGTTTAAAGTTTGAGCAAAAATTTAATAAAATACTAAAATTATTAATATTTTTATAAAATAAAACTCTATAAAAATAACTATATATTACAATAGTTTGCGATATGATTGATAAGAACAACTTAATTATTATAAATAATTTATCCACAATTTAAAATAATTTACTCTTAGTAAAAATATAATAAAGAAGCATAATTAAATTTTTAAAAATAAGAACAAATATTACTCACTTTAGAATTCTTTGCAACTTCAAAATCTCTTGGCATGGCGGCAAGCCATTTCTTACGTATTGGGAAATCCAAAATTTAATACTTTTGTACCATCAACTTTGTAAAATCCTCTGCAGTTTGGTACACAGCACTCATTGGCAATTATCCATAACACTAAGAATTAAATTAATGCTGACATTTACAACATTTGTTGAATAAATATAAATTTTACGAAGAACGTTGACACCAGAACACACACGGTTGTTTACAAATTCAAATCAAAAATATTCGCCAATTGGCTGAATGCCGACACAGGTTATAATACTTGAGAATATCGCCAATGGCTCGTTTGATCAGATTCGGAGTTTTTCGTAAAAATAGCTACCCTGACTGGTTTCCCTCTGGGCCTAACGTCATCATCGCCTATAGTAACCCGTTGTGAGGCTTGATTCCTTTCTAGGAGGTATTGGCCCAGCACGCCAAATTTTTACTCTGTGCTTAAAATGTGTTTCTTTTGTAACTTTTTTCCCTCGTTCAAAAAATATGTGCAATAAAAGAAAAGTTCTACATAATAGTCTCATCACAATTAATATATTTAACAATAAAGTAATATTATAAAATTTTTTAATAATATAATGTTAATACTCAACAATAAAAAATAATGGCAGTTTATTTTAGGTGTATAGAAATGGAATTGAACTTATAAGGGCCCCACCAAGCTTAAATCCGGCCCTGGGTGAATTGTACAATTCTATATATGGTCTATATTTGTTGAGTAACGGCTATAAAATGTTGGCACAATCGGACAATTTTAAGTAGGGTTTATATTGGCTGAATATCGGTTGAGTTGAACACTTCTATTTCGAACCAACATAATCTTAGTAACAGCTATAAGATATCGGGTCAATGGTCAATCGGACAATTTAATGTAGCGTTTATATTGGCTGAATAACGGCTATAAAATATCGGATGAACTTACCAAATCTGTATAGGGCCGATATTGCCGAAATAAGGGCAATAAAATATTGGATAAATCGAGCTATTTTATATAAGACACACATTGGCTATATAACAGCTTTAAAATATCGGGTAAATCGTACAATTCTATATTGGCTGAATATCGGGTGAAAAATATCGGCTGTATTTTATTTAGGTTCAATATTGGCAGAATAACAGCTATAAAAAATCGGGTGAGTCGAACAATTCTATAAAGAACTTGCATTGGCTGAGTAACGTTTAAAAATATCGGGTCAATTGGGGAATTTCAAATAGGACCTATATATTGGCTAAATAATGGCTTTAAAATATCGGGTGAATTGAACAATTCTATATATGGTCTATATTGGCTGAATAACAGCTATAAAACATCGGTTGAGTCTGGCACTTCTATATCGAACCAACATTGGCTGAATTATGGCTATAAAATATCGGGTGAATTTTACAAATCGGTATAGGGCCGATATTGGGTGAATAAGGGGAATAAAATATGGGGTGAATTTGACAATTTTATATAGGGTAAACACCGGCTGAATAGTGGCTATAAAAAATCGGATGAATCGGATATTTTTATGTCTGTCCAAATTAGGCAAAATAATGGCCCTTTAAAACCTTGTTGAGCCAAGAAAGGTGAATATTGGCCCAATGAGTCCCCAAGTTATTTTGCTGCTATGGATCATTCAAATATAAAGGAAATACAAATTTCTATGTGAAAAGGCAGAAAATCAATACTTTAAATAAAACATAATTTCATACCCTTTAAGAAATCTTTTATCATTTCTTGATAATCTTCATTTAGTCGATTTTTGAAACGAGCGCGCAATTTTCTGCCCATAATCCTCTGGTAGGAAGGATAGGGAGGAGGCGTTATTCATTCATCAATAGAAAACCGCGCATGCTTAAAAACATGACTTGAAGAGGTTTCCTGCGGCATCACAGACATCCTCTCACTATACTCTACCCTATTCTTTTTCCTGTCTGAAAAATATGATCGATATTTAATAAATTTCATTCCTGTGAATTTTGTGTTATTTTTACATAAATGGCGACTTCAAATTTAAAAACTGTCGGTATTGCTGCTAAGTTTAGAGGATGTTTGATCGGAGCCTTGGTTGGTGATTGTCTTGGTGCTCCATTTGAATTTTATGCTATCGTGAAAGAAGAGAAGCTGAAAACATTCTTTTCTGAAATTCTCAATGGAGGTACATACATTTTTATTTAAGCCATGTGATTTTTTCATAAGATTTGTAATTTTTTTAAAAATTCGCTTTTTATAATAGTTTCAATTTATGTTAATATTTTCAATAATGTTTTTTTTTATAAGAAATATCAAAGATTTAAACAGTCTATAATTGCAATCTAAATTAAAGAATAAAATTAATTTGCAAGTTTTTTAATATATTATTTTAGAATTAGAAACAATTTAAAGCAACAATTGGAAAGAAATATAAATTTAATGAATTTCTTAAAAATTCGATACAACAAGCATTTCTCTGTTTTATTGATATAAAATTTATATAATTATATGAAAAGCCGTTAAAATTTCATGATCAAATTAAATATCATGGGGAGATTTCCGTATCGTGATCTGCGGCAGCATAATCGCCAAATCTTGCCAACTTCCGGGCCAGTTAGAAACTAACTCTCAAATAATATGACATATAGATTTTTTAAAAAGTTATTAGAATAGTAGGATAGACAAAAATATTTCAAAGAGTTTATGTGCAAAATGTTTAACTTCATAGTTAATATATTAAATTTAATTTGCGTAAATTCAAACTTTTCTTATATTTATTGCTAAAAAATTAAATTAATCATTTTTTTGTTTCTTCTATCTCATCCAGCTCCGTCCAATTTTTTTTCTTCAGTGTCCTGGAAGAGGAATAGGTCTCTTTCTGACAAAATGCCATCCCAGACTCGAAGTAAAATAAATTTTATGTACACTTTTGTTCATAAGAGTAAAGATTGGGAAAATTTTAAAATCTTCATTCATATAAGTTAGTATTGATAGGTTCGTGCTCTAGCCTAAAAGTAACTGTATTAACTCATACAGTTACTTTAGAATAGAGGAAAATAAGAAGATAATGTGAGAAGTGAAGTTGATCAACTATGTTGCTGCTATTTGTGATAATCACATAATTATTGTTTTTAAGAAACATCTCTGGGTACTTATGTATTATCCCATTGACCATTTTCGCCAACATTACGAAAAGTTAATTTGATATCTTTTCAAATTTATTTTAATACTAGCTAACTATCCGTTTTTCGAAGTAGTGAATAAAAAGAAGAAGAATTAATAAATCAATACTGAGAAACACAACGCAATCGTGCTCAATACTGAAGCGCATATACTAACGCAGTTAAAGAGTTTAATGGAAGAACCATGTGAATGACATTTTTAAGGGAATGAACGAATTAGAGAAAATAACATAAAGTGGTTACGTCTATATGGGCATGTTTAATGTTACAGAACTGTTTCTACCTTCAGTTTTATCTTAAAATAACTAATCTATATTAGTTTTCAGTATGCTTGCATGATTTTTATTTCAAATTAGCAATGGTAAATAAAATAAAACAATCAATTCTTAGTCCCACCATAAATTGGTAATAAAATAATTTGGATACGTGTGTTCTTTTTTCGTTCTGAAAATCTCACTTAACTTATGTTCTTCCACTAAGTTTTTCAATTAATATAGCTAAAATAATTTTTTTTTAAATTTAATGTTATATGTTGTAATCTTCGGTGACTTTACGTTATTGAAGTAAGCAAAGTTGATTGTTTGTAATCCATACTATTGGAATAAAGATAAAATGTATTTAGCATCGCTTGACGTGATGCTATTGCTCGCGGCCAATTCATGATAGTTAGAATTTACCACTATTAAGTGATTATCTCAGGTACATATATATCCTTTTCGAGGGACCGTAAAACACTTAATCCCTAAGTTGGTGCAGCTTTAATAAACACCAAATATATATCAATATAATATTTCATACCTATATTAGTATATTTGGTACTTATTACACAACCCTTCAACATTTGAGTTTATACATATTTGTCAGTGGTAGCCAACTAAAGCCGAATTATTTTTAAAAAAATATTAGAACTTTAGAAGGATTTTGGAGCATGACCATTTCTCTATATGACTTTTAGTTTACTGTTAAAATATTTATGAATAGTGGTGGAAAAAAGTTCTTTTAATTCTAATTCATTAAAATATTAATACTTTATCTTAGCTACAACTGGAAAAAATATTTTCTGAAACTACGTAAAACCCGTTGTAGAATTTTTTTGCTGTCAATTTGCCAATTAACATAATACTAGTAGTACAAATTACCGCCGGTGATACATATGAATTAAGCGTCATCTGTGAATGGCGATATTTTACGGTTTTCTTAAATGAATTTCCCATTAATCTTTCCTCCATGTTCTTGGCTTTTTAGCTCATAGCTTATTTTATTTTATTTCAACAATGACGCATTATCAATGTTAATTAAGCATTAGTATCAACAATAATATGCAGATCTCTTACGGCTGCCCAAGACACGAATAAGCATATTTTCTACTTATTTTTGCTTTTCAGTTCAGAAGTTACTTTTTTTTAAAATTTCAATTAATACAAATTAACAACATTAATTAAGCATCGATGTTGTGAGTGATAGTATGACGATTTCTTACAGTTCTTCTAGGCAAATAAATACCTTTACTCCATTTTGTTTGCATTTTAGTACAGGGTCATTTCTTTTATTTCAATATGTATAGATTACCTTAATTAATTAAGCATCATTGGCGTCAACGTTTATTTTTCTCCTAAGCGAATGTGTATCCTTTTAACGATTAATTTTTGCTTTTGAATACATAAATGAGTTTTTTTTTCTATTCCATTATCGTTGATTTTAAATAAGCAATTTTCTAGAAACTCGTTTAAAAGAATTTATATAAATAAAATTATATAAATGAAATAAAAGATCGTGGTATCAAACAAAGTATGAATTTGGTAGACCGGGCGTGCTACCACGTAATGTTGATTAATGTGAGAAATTGAGTTGTTAAATTTAAAACAATGGCTAACGCTGAACAAATCAGAAAATTCAATTTCGTTTTTCGTTTAACCCGCTCGAACGATTTGTCGTAGAATGTTCTAATGTTTACATAGACCTTCCTTGTGCTTTGAACTATCTGTATACCAAATTTCATAGCTTCCGATTTGATGATTAAGGAGTCTACAAAGGACACAAACATTGATTTTTCTATAGTTAGATAGCAGTTAATTATTAAGAAATTGACAAAATACAAATATAACTTATTACATGCAAAAAATGAGGTATTTAAATTTGAACCATTTCCAAATTTATTTTCAGATTTGGCATAAATAGTCGACAGGAAAATACGTAAGTACGTATATTTGTTACTGCTGACTACTAATTTAAATAATATTTATTATTGATCTTATCATGTTTTCTTTCACAATTGGTAGCCATTGAAGGAAGTTACATTCATTTTGCAGCTTTTTGCTGAGATTTATATAATAACCTAATTATTATCTACTATGCGGTAATTTTAAAATTAAAACCTGAAAACCAAAAAGCATTATAGCCTTGCGAAAAATGATCAAATTTATTAAAAAAAAAACTGTGATGCATTATTTTATTAATAACTTTTTATGCAATTTTGTTCCTTATGTTGAAATATTGTTGTTATTAAAAAAAATTTATTTGTAGAAACAGAAAAAATTTATATGCATACAGATGATACAGCAATGACATTATCAGTTACTAAATCACTGATAGAAAAAAAGAAAATCTCTCCTAGTGATTTGGCTAAAAGGTATTTTTCGTTTCAAAATTTGAAAAATTATCTATCATGTGTATGTTTTTGCTAAACTCACGGTAAAAAAGTGTTTAAACTATTCAGTTTCTCACTAAATTTGTTCGATGAATAAAGATTCATTTCATGTTCTAATTTTGTCAACAATAAGTTTATGAATAGGTTTTAAGGGAACAGTTTATGTAACCAAATTTTTCCACTATACTAACTCTGTAATACCAATGTTAATTTTTACCATAAATGGCTTTGAATGTTAAATTTTTATGTAACCTATACCGTAGAAGATCTTTAAAATGCACACCTCAAAACCTGAGGCACTGCGTCTTATGGAATTTTGTGTTATATAAAAAATTTCATTTATCTTTATAAACTTACCCGCTAAATATGGCAGTATTAGTTTAAAACAGATCATTCTTACAATGATTTAAAATAATATTTTTATACAAATGCTTTAAAACTCAAAATATGCACTTAAGTATTTATTACTTACAAAAAAAAAATTAAAATTTTCTGCAGCAATAGAGCTAATAACAAACAAATTATTTAATTTTGGTTTGCTTTTGAAACTTTAACCTCTTTTCAAATAATTAAATAAACAATTTAAAAAGTTAATAATTCTGTTTTATTTAGTTATAGAAATTTCTTAACTGCAAATTTCATTGGTTACACTTAGAAAGCTAGTGTGGTTTATAGAGAATTGTGGTTTACAGAATTGCGTTATACAAATCTTCTACTGTATAAATAAATACTTGTAATCTGTAGGATTTTCATTTTTCTCTTTAAATATCATTTCCTAGCATTTAAAAAAGAATTATGTAAAAATATTTCTCATTTACTCCTTTTTTTTGTGGATCTTTAAATCCAAACAAGTGTTTTTTTTAAACCATTAACACTTACTTAAATTCCAACTAATTAAAATATTTACCTGTCTTTTTATTTTTTTTAATAAATGAACTATTTTTTTATTTTGAAAAAATTTGTTCTAATGTAAAGTTTATTTATTATTATTATTTTTGAATAAGCGTTTAACTTTTTTTAAAGAATAAGAACATGGACTTTTTTTTAAAATAGATATCACATAAAAATAAGGAGGACATCCTAAAAATTTATGATAGTTAAGCTCTCAATCAAAAACCTTGCTCAAAGAGTTTCACCTATGCACAAGCTTAGACGAATTTTAAAAGCCTATGCAGCAACCATGCGAAAGTTGAAAAAAGAGGACCTATAAAGTCGCAGTTTTAACATGTGCTTATGCTTAACAGCTTCCGAATATCAATGTCAATCTGGTATTCTTATTTGGTTATTTACTCTTAATAATAAATTCTTTAATATAATGTAAATTTTTAATGTCTGGTAGATGATAGTAATAATGAGCAAGTGCTTGAAATACATAGAAAATTTTTATTTTACTTCATAAATCTTTAAAATGCAACAGAAATGTGAAAATTGAATGGGAAAAAATTTGTTGAATGACTTAATAATGTGACAATCATAAGATTATTTATTAAAGAAAATCAACTTACTAAAATTGATGGGTTTTTCAAATGAGCCTACTTGGAACAAAAAGAAAGAAAAAATACTTGAAATAGCTTATTTTATGGTTAGGCCCACTTTAGCAAACTACGTAACAATAAACAAGAACTTCTTTATATGGCTTGGAATAGTTCCTATAATTTAGCTTAATATAAAGTTATTGTTGTTGATAATTTTTTAAATTTATTTAACCAGTTTTTAAGCTTTTGTGTTAATTAGTAACTGAAACAATATTACGGTATTTTACAGATCAGAGAAAAGCCGGAATTTAATTTACGCAAAAAAAAAAAGTTAAAGAATATTTAATATTTTTTTGCCAAAACCTTGAAGTTATTATCAATCTTAGAATCAGAGGTAAACAGCCATTGAGACTCAAAGTAAATAATTTTAACATCTTTTGCAAATACTTCTACTATGAATATGAGGTAATTTAAAAAAATAATAATAATAATAAAATAAAAAAATTTGACTAACCATAATATCAAATAGTGAAACATGTACCTTGGAACACAAAAATCACTTTTGTAGTGAGAAAAGAAAAGTGATATAGACAAAGAGTACGAAATAGTGCAAGCAGTGCTTTATGTTTGTAAACTCACTAGTTATTGAAACCAGCCTGTCATTTCCAGGAAAGAATTATTTTATGAATGATAACATTTAAATTTTTTTGGTTATCAAATTCACAATGAGAATTAAATTATTTTAACTAAAGTGAAATTTACTAAAAGTGAAACAAAATACTTCAGTCAGGAGTGCTCAGCAATAACATTTTGCATCTGTATTCCGGAGTTGTATTGCAAAGCATATTATTTTTTATCATTTTTTAAATGAATAAATGTTTTTATCACTCCAGAAAGGTGGTATTTTCTTTTTGTTAGAATTATGAATGGTTAGGTGCAAGTGTGTGGAGAGAAAGGGGTATTTTCTTTGAACAAAACCTCGAATTAGTTATTTAGTTTAGTTCTCTGTCTAAACTGTAAAATATCAAAAGCATTCATTCCCTTTTGTTGATATTAAAGAATTATTGAAGAGAAGGGACTTTAACGTGCGCAACTTGAACTTTATTAATATAAAATTTGATTTGAAACAGTTTTATCCTATTAAAATTTCTAATTGAAAATCCAAAGATTATTCCATGCAAAAAATAATTTTTAGTAAATATTTATTATTTTTCTTTGTTTTATTTAATAATGGTCAAAAAAATTTCGAATTGTAAGGTATACAAATTTTTGCATAATTTTAAAAAATATAATTTTGCTAATCAAAATACAAAATTTGAGCTAAATCCATCGAAGACTTCCTGAGAAATCGAATTTTAAATATCTCACTTTTTTGAAATTAATTTTCTCAGGAACTATTCAACCGGTTTTGCTCAAATTTTGTAGTTTGCCATGCTAGATTATATTGTTTAAAATGATGCAAAAAATTACATAGCTTACAATTCAAAAAATTTTCCACCATTATTAAATAAAATTATAAATATTTACTCAAAGTTATTTTTTGCATGAAATTATTTTTGGATTAACGAATTTTATAATTGTGTGCAATAATTTTTTAATTGCTTAGTTCTCGAGATATGGCAAAATATTTTAAAAAAGTAAAATTATGATTAAGGTGTCCAAACTTTGAAGCGCTCTCTTAACCAAACTATTGTGACCATATTTCCATATATCCACAATATTTTTGGGGTCAGAAATCCGAATCCGTCGTAAAAAAGGTATTCAGAAAAAGTAGCTTTTTGTGCCTGATTTCGTAATTTAAAATATCGTCCGCACTAATTAATTAGCATATTTGAGGTCACCTCCTCGAGCCATTAGGATTGAGTCCTTGAACGTGAAGATCCGATCATTAGATCAAAAGTTATTCAGGGTGGTCCAGTTAATTTTGCTCACTGTACATTTCCTTTACTGTATGAATGTGTAGATAATCATTTTTAGTCTTATATACATAATGATTTTTCTATGGTTCTATACTTAAATTAACATTTAATTGTTCATAAAAATTGAAGTCAGATATTTACACAATTTCAAAAATATATCCTTCTAGGATTATTTATTGGATTGTAAATTGACACTTTATAAGGGCCTTGGAATTTGAAATCATCTTTTTAGAGAATTATATATCATATTTAGAGAATAAGAAGAAACGTTTTAAACTTTCTATGCATTTGAAAATCTACTGTAATTTTCAAAACTTTTAGTAGTGATTGTATACATTTTTATAGTTTACAAAGAAGTCCCTTTTTATTTAAATTGTTAAATGGTAAATAACTCTCAATAGTTTTAATACGCAATTTTTTATATCTAAATTGTTTCTTCTTCAATCTTCTAGATTTGTACACGAGTTTTTTACTGACCCTCTATCAGGAAAACGAGCCTATGGTGCACATGTTCGGCTCGTGTTTGTGGCTTTACAGGAAACAAACTTTAAAGACGTTTTTCTTCCTGCTAAAAACCAATTCAATGGAGCAGGATCTTATGGCAATGGAGCTGCTATGAGAATCGCCCCCGTTGCCTTATTTGTTCATAATAAAGATAATGACTTTATAAAAGTAAGATAAACTTTGGGGAGATTTCCGTATCGTGATCTGTGGCAGAATTATCGCGAAATCTTGGATACTTCCGGGCAGTGACCCGCCAGAAAGTAAAAAAAAAAAGAACATCACAGAAAGGGACCAACTCGAAAGGTATAACTCGTAGCCAGCCCCAAGTAAACATCTACATGCTTTTTTTTTTTTTTAAATTTCCAAGTTTAAAATCTATTTGGCACCTTGGCGATTGTAGTTGGCGTGACAGATCACGATACGGAAATATCCCCTTTTTTTTATCTGATTGAAACGTTTTAAGTATAGAACTATGTTCTACAGGTGATTTAATAAAACTTTATCTAAATTTATTAAAAATAAAAATTTAAGAATAAAATAATATTGTTATTCATACAATTATTAAACTTAGAAAGTATGATCATCAAAATTTTATTTAATATAATTTTTAAAAATGAAATGTTTTCTTTTAGGTACACTTTGTTCATGTTTACATGTTTATTATCTTTCTTAATAGAAATCAGTGGAACAGTGCTCTTTTGTGACTCACACTCATCCAGATGGTTATAATGGAGCACTATTACTGTGCTTAGCTATTCACTTAGCTCTGAAATTAGATCCTTCTGAAGAACTTGATCCTATGAAATTCATTTTGGATCTTGAAGAAAAGATGACAAGTTTTAAAAACCAGGTGAATATCAGAAAGATTATAGAATGAAAAGAAAGTTTAAACATGAATGTATGAAGACTTTTAATTATATATTAAGAATTTTAAGTCATCACGATTATTTTTACCTAATTATATACTTGTATTAACCCTCTGAGCATTAGTCCCACCCTTTCCTTACATTCCAAATGCAAACTTTTCTTACGTTAAAAAAAGTGTTGTTCAATAGAAAACAAGCATGAAAGATGAAAATTACCCAGAGGTTCCAATGCTTGAAGAGTTAATACACAATTTTAAATTTTATTGAACAATTGTAGCAAAATGCAATTGTAGATTGAAAGTATTTGTGTTTAAATTAATCAGAAATAGAAACCTGATTTTAAAAAATCATTATACAATATACATCCGATGTGCTGATAATATATACAGTTCAAGTCCCATGTCCATTTACTGGACTTTTTTTTACTAACAGAATAACCAAATAGCCAGCCAGATGGTCGAGCGGTTAGCGTGCCTGACTGAGAAGCCAATGGCTGCAGGTTCAAATCCCGATCACTCGTATAAGTAGTGGATGTTTCTCTCTGTGTGTTGTTCTCTATTGTGTGTATGAATGTGGCCCACCATATAAACCGGTATCTATGGCAGTGTGGCGTGGGTAATGTTGCTCGCCTCCATGACTTAGGTTCACAGGTGCCCACTGGGTAACGTTAAATGAGTATTACTTCCGGCATCNAATATCAGAAAGATTATAGAATGAAAAGAAAGTTTAAACATGAATGTATGAAGACTTTTAATTATATATTAAGAATTTTAAGTCATCACGATTATTTTTACCTAATTATATACTTGTATTAACCCTCTGAGCATTAGTCCCACCCTTTCCTTACATTCCAAATGCAAACTTTTCTTACGTTAAAAAAAGTGTTGTTCAATAGAAAACAAGCATGAAAGATGAAAATTACCCAGAGGTTCCAATGCTTGAAGAGTTAATACACAATTTTAAATTTTATTGAACAATTGTAGCAAAATGCAATTGTAGATTGAAAGTATTTGTGTTTAAATTAATCAGAAATAGAAACCTGATTTTAAAAAATCATTATACAATATACATCCGATGTGCTGATAATATATACAGTTCAAGTCCCATGTCCATTTACTGGACTTTTTTTTACTAACAGAATAACCAAATAGCCAGCCAGATGGTCGAGCGGTTAGCGTGCCTGACTGCGAAGCCAATGGCTGCAGGTTCAAATCCCGATCAGGGCATGGATATTTCTCTCTGTGTGTTGTTCTCTATTGTGTGATGTATGAATATGGCCCACCATATAAACGGGTATCTATGGCAGTATGGCGTGGGTAATGTTGCTCGCCTCCATGACTTAGGTTCACAGGTGCCCACTGGGTAAGGTTAAATGAGTAATACTTCCGGCATCTTCTTAGGCGAAAAACGTAAAAGTTCAGTGCCTGCCATTAGAAGAAAAAATATAGTATATCTTTTCCTTTTTCGAAAAGAAAATTTCTTCCTTTCACATTTGCAATTTGTTAAAAAGATATTACTGAAAAATTGTTTGTCGTTCTTCCTTCTTACTGCTTTTCATATACCCAAATATTACTCGATTTCAATAAGCACATTAGTGCAGTTGTTGAAAAGATGAAATCATATAATTTAAAGGAAAGCCAATTTGGATGAGAAGAATAAACTATGAATATTGATGAAACTGAAAATTAACAGTGTTTGATAAGAACACCAGCTGACAAACTTTGAGCTTTGTTCTTTGTTTCTTTTTAAATTATAAATGTTTTTATTGACAAAGCCTATAAGCATATTTAAATATAATTTTAAAAATATATAAATATAATTTTAATTTATCATAATTATTTTTAACTAATCACTCAGAATTAAGTATTTTAAATTTCGTAAACTGAGCTTAATTCATGGCGATATTGACTTTTTTTTAGAGAAAAAAAAGTTTTATTGCCTTTTCTGTAACTGAAACGGTAGTCAATAAAATTTAACAAAGTTTTTGGAGCAATTTTTAATTAAAAGAAAAATATTTAAAAAATTAAAAAAAATCTTTAAAAATTGGGCAATTTAAATTAATAATTAAATTTAAAAACAATTTTGCGATTCTTCATAGATCACTTGCTTATATAGCTATGTCAGTTACGTAAATATGTATAAAAACAAAACATTACTTTTATATATAAAAACGCTTATAACAATTAAACTATTAGTCATATTGACTTTCTTTTATTCTCATCTGATTTAGGGTTTTAAAAAAAAATCGGAACTATTATGTTAGTTGTCTAGACTAGATAGCAATGCTAAAGTTTCTTCCCTCTTTAATCGTCCTGTTAAGGGTGCTAGATGTCGATAAAACTTTTCTTATTCTATAGAGTAGATGTAGTGCTGGTGGTTAATTTTTTTGATTTCCTACATTGATTTTGCTACAAATAGAGCGAGTAAATTATTATTAATTTACTTGTCACATATTTGCCAAGCTAATAAAAATATTTCTTTTGTTAAACAGGGATTTGATCCTTACTACTTAAGCTTAAAATAAATGAAATGCTGTCTTGAAAAACAAGAGGATATTTCCCCTATAGATATTGCTCAGTCATTAGGTTTGCACTTTGTCATTTTTTTTTAAATTCATTATTATTATTATCTGAATTGCATTATACTACAGCCTTAGAAAAAAGTATTGAGTCAATATGAGAAAAATGTATAATATCTAGACTTACGATAAACTATGAAGCTACTATAAGCCGTACAGCATTGTAAGTTATAAAGGAATCACTAAAGTTAAAGAATTTTTTTTTGAATAATCTTTATTTATTTTTATTTTATTTTATTTTTTTCATTTTACATTTTTTTGCTGCCAGGAATACTTGAAACTAAGAAACTATGCAAAAAATATACAAAGAGCGTGATGGAATTAAAAAAAATTAACATTCAATAAATTGTTTTGAAATTATGAACCTTTAAATTTATAAGAAAAAATACCATTCCAGCCATTCTGCATCCCAAGAAATGCAGCTATTGAGACAAAAGTTGACATTCTGAAAAGGATACTTTTTATTTGCAAACGTATTACTGATTTTTTTTAAAATTCCAATTTGTCTGAAAGCATAAATTTGTTATTTGCCAAGATAAGTTCTTAAAATTATTTATCTCTTTTGATTCTTATTTTATAAGCTCAATTCTTAATTTAAGTTGAAAGTGAAGAAAAAAATGGATTCCCAGATCTCAAATTTATCACCATTGTTATTTTCTGACTCATTTAACCAAAAGAAAAATGGCTTGGATGTTTATTACCATTCAAATTACATTATCAAAAAATTATCAAGGTATTTGTTTTCAAAAAATAGCATTGAGTATAAAAATTCAAAAAATAATAATTTTTTTAAAAAGTGGTTAAGTTGTAGCATTTCAAGCAAGAAATTGACATTTTTTATGTTATTGTTATTCTCACTGATAGTTAAATTGAAGGTTAGAGTAATGCTGCGTTGGAAAAAGATTTTTTATTGTTTGATAATTTTTTATCAGGGAGAGGTTGTTTAAATTCCTAAAAGTTGTCATTGATGATCAGTTTACTGAAATACATTTCTTTAGAGTTGGATTTAAAAACATTTAAAATATTGGACTAATACGAAAAAATTTTTTAAGGCTAAACTATCAACTAAATTTTTATAAATAAACAGCAATAAAAAAATCAATTAAAGTTCTTTAGAATGTGTGGAAAATCGGAAATGTTCACCATCCCAACAGATTGAACATTTGTTGCACGTATCAATTGCATTTATCATATGTTAAATTTCTCTGCTCCATTACACAAATGTTTACACTGGACCAAAATAAATGCAGTTCTTAATTCAACCCTCTGACTTATTGTTAATTTCTGTAGTTGTTGATAGTAAAAAATAGAAAACAGTTGTGGATAAAATTAGGCAGATTTCTACTCAATTAATTTAACATAATCAGGGATCTGTTCAGGCCTAATTTACTACCGTTTAACGGTACCTTTACAAATTCAACTTTAGGAGAAACGGCAGTTTCACAAAATACTTTTTCCTAAAATTTTATTTTTGTATGCCTTAAGAAGCAATAAATCCATATTTTTGTGTTGATCTTTTAATATAATTTTTAATTTTTCACAAATTATGTCTGAATTTTCACAAAATAGTCTCAGAAAAACCTAGACAGACCCCTGACAGCAAAATTTTTTATTATATTAAATTAAATAATGCATTTGTTTGTTGATTCGAATTTTGGATAGTTTTAATTATGTTTACATTTCTCTTGGAGTTCTTCAAATTGTAAAAATTCAACTATATTATAATAATTATATTAAAGTTTGAGGAATTGTTTTACATTTTAGGAGATTAAAGCTTCTTTATTTGTTGTTTAATATTATAAACAATATATTTAATGGAATACATACAAAATTTTGCGACAACAAAAAAAAATCTCTTATTCAAATGTTAATCAATACTTTTATTTTTAATTATGTTTTTTTTCCTTTCTTCTTTTATCTTATCATGTGCAGAATTGTTTTTACTTATATCATCAATGGAATTAAATTTTTTTTGTCTTTCTTCATTACACACTCACATGTAATATATTTTTCTATTTTTTATAATTTTTATTGGTTTTTATTTTATTTTCGCTTTTATTACTTTAACACATTTCATTAAAGAAACATCTGACTTTCTCAGTTTGTATTAAATTGATGTCATTGGAAAATCTAAAACAAATTGTCTAAAAAAAATTTACTTAGTTGTTTAATAAAAAATATACATATCAAATTTTAAAAATATCCTTTCTTTACCATACAGGAAATAGTGTTTTAGCCTTGAAATCTGTTCCAACTGCGATTTATTCATTTCTCAGGGCTCTGAAACCACTTTCAAATTATGAGGTGAGCTTATTTGGAAATTTTATTAAAATACCATGCAGAATATCTGAGCAATTTGAATGGCTACTTTTCAACACAATATGTGGATTTATGTTTATAAGTCCCATACCTGCAATATCAGCGGCGTTTCAAGGCACAAAATTCTCTGATAACTCATTTCCTTCCTTCTTCTAAATGTGAAATTCAAACTACTGTAAGTTATGTATCACGCAAATTTACCTGAAACTTTTGTGTTGAAAAAGTAACTCTTTGAATTACTTTAGCTTTTCTGAGTATTAAATTTGATTATAATTTTAGAAAAATCTTTTTTTTCTTTTTAATAAAAATACTACACTCCTTTTCGTCATCATCTTCTTCACTTTCTTAATATGCAAAAATGTTATAAGCTAGATTTTTTTTTTTAAATATGAGAATAAAACTTTAAAAATTAATTGTACAAATAGTTGAAATGATATTTTTTACAAATACATGATTGTTTGACTTCTTGTTAATGTTTCTAAACAAGATATGTATGCAATTTTCTTTTTTCTCAGCTAATATTTATAATTTTTGATTGTTAGCAATATAGAATAATCTTTCAAAAATAACACAACTTACATTCATTTAACTCACATTAATACAATTTTATTGTAATCAAAAGTAAAAGGCAATTTCTATTTGGTATTCAATTTTTTTTTGTAACTATGAGTATGTTATAACAATTGATCAAATGCAATTAATTTTTCGAATTTGAAGGGTTCGAATCCTTGCGGATTCATCACTGGATGCAATGAAAATGACCTGCGTATTTAGCTACAGCTAAGCGTTAACAGAAATTACGCATTTAAAATCCCTTATAACGAATGTTTAAACTGGCCATTATGAACAATATATATAAAATGAATTATCTTGAAATCAATTTTTATTCCTGCATATAATTTTTTGAAAATAATGTTAGAGGGGTACTCCAGACATTACCCCTCTAACAAAATATACAAAAAATATATTTCTAAGTATTTTTTTAATCTGTTAGTTGCCCTGTGACAAGTATATCATGTCTCAGTTACATTTTTTTTCTAACATTGTGGCAGCTAACATGTTATTGATAGACTTATATCTTTTTCTAGAGCACAAATCCGTTTATTCGAACAATCTACTTTGCCATATCAGTTGGTGGGGATACTGATACTATTGCTACAATGGCAGGTGCTATTGCTGGTGCCTATTATGGTGATGACATAATTCCAGAAAATTTTAAGAAAGTATGTGATAAAATAAAGGAAGTTGAAATATTATCAGATAAGCTACGAAAAACTTCTAAAGCCTAGATTTGTTGTTGCTAAAAGAAAAGTACGGTGCATACTTAAATAAAGTTTTTCATATTTTTTTCTATTTTTAAATTATTTTTTGTATTAAAAAAATTATTATTTATATGTGAGTTTCATATATTTCAAATTCTGATGTAAAAGGCATAATCATTAATACTTTTTAAAACAGTATGTGACTTTCTTTATTAAAATTGAGAATGAATTTTTCGTATAATTTTTGTTAAGTAAATTTGTAACTATATGCAGGCATCCTTAATTTTAAACTCTGATGAAGCTCTCTTATCCTGCACCAATCATCATGTTTTCCAAATTTAAATCTAGTGGAAAAGGGAGTTTAAAATGGCCATTAGTGAAATCAATATAAATATTAACATATTATTGCTACACACAATAAACCCTGTGCTTAGATATTTCCAATTTTAACTACAATTACTTATTATACTTATGTATGCAATAATGATAAATTAATATAAATATTTGTAATTTTATATGCAAATAAGAAATAGCAGTGGCTGGTAATAACTATTGGAAATAGCTATATTGAATTTTCATTAATTATGGGGGGTGAGTTGTTAAAAAGTATAGTATGATGTGTAAAACTCATGTTAATTTGCATAAAAATTATGAAGCCTGATCTAAAGCTGTGTCGTTGCATTCCAGTGTAAAACGTTTTAGCACTGTAGTACTGGTTATTATTTAGGATAAATGTTTTCAAGCTTCAATAAAAATTTACAGATCTCTTTGATCATTTTAGTTTGCATTTAACCTCTAAGTGTTGACCTTAGTTCGAGGTATAACCTTTACTTGTTGGTTAAAATCATCTGCTTGTGTGTTATTCAATCAGGCTATTTTGTTTTGATATTGCTAGAGATATTCTGATTATTGTAGAATTATATAATATCATTTATTGGATATTATTAGATTCTCTTAGTGATGTGAGATATTATTAGATATTCTTATTGATGTGATATTATTAGATATGTCTTTTAGTGTGATATTATTAGGATCGATGTGATATTATATGCTGTGTTTGTGATTGATATGATATAAGAAATTCTGTGATATTTCCCTGCTTGGCAGAGATATATATGTACAAATTGCCAAGTATCAAACTAGCTTAAGAGTTAAAGATCTACAGACATTCTGTAAATTAAAATTAAAAGAACATTTAGAAAATGTTGATAAATAAATCCATTCTAACACATTTCTCAAATGAATATCTTTATACAAATTTATAAAAGGCAGGAAATGTGTAGATTGCACAGGAAAACATTAAAATACATTTCATTAATATGAAAAAATTCATTCAAATATATTGTGCTTTTATACTTTTATTATTTGATCATATATCAAAAATTGCAACATATTTTTACGATAATATTTTTATAACGCATCTTTATAGTGAAAGTATGACATTATTCTGAAGGTTTCATTGCTATGTAACAAGTTTAGTCCAACATATCAAGCATAAAGTTTAGCCCAACATTTTTGCCCTTTTTACTGTTTTTTAAATAAAACATTATTCATTATACATCGTTTCTCTGTTATCAAGACAGGATGATACACTCAGTGATATATACGTCTGTCATTTTTATATATATTAAATACAACAAAAGTTAAGAAAAAAATGTTAAGGCAAAAGTTACGGCATTTAAAAAGTGGTTGAAATCATTAAATATATTCTTTTTCCATGTCATATCATTCTTCTCAGCTTCAGTTGACATGCAAAGAAAATTATAAAACTATGCTTACAGTGCATTATAGTGTTTATAATGCAAAGTCATAGAAAAAAAAAATAGCAATTTTTCAGAACTTATACAGAAATGTTATCAAATGTGAAATTGCATCTTTTTTTAATGAAAATTGCACACGTGAGAAAAATTTATCACTAGAAAATTGGGTCCCACTTTTTTTTATCTTAGCAACTTAGCCCCTCCTTCAGTTACAGGCATAAAAGAAGAAAAACATGAACTTGTAAAATTTGTAATTTCACAAATTCAATTCCTAATAATAAAATAATTCCTACCTCAAATATCAATGTTTAAAAAATGCAAGAACTGATACATTATTGGTATTTTTAAATAAATTACTAATTACAGTTTTATTTGAAGTTCCACGATAAACTGTATTTTAATGTGTTTTAAAAATTTAAGCTTGCTATGACAATATGTGTGAGTTTATTTTCAATTTTGGAAGTTTGCTTACTTGACAAATCATCTTTAAACACATATCATATAATTTTGTTCGAATAAGTGAATTACAAAGATATAATTTCAATACATATTCTTTACGATGTGAAATTGTTGAAGATAGAAAATATCCCTGAAACAGATTATTTATGATATTTTCTGTTCTATTTTTTTTGTGCATGTGAGACAATTCTAATAAAAACAAAAAAGTCACTTCTGAATCATATTTATTTTGGCACTATGACAATGGTTTTGCAGATAGAAAATATTATCTATACTGTCCGCATAAAAATACTGAATATTCATTAAGTTGGAGTAATTTTGACAATAATATAATTTAGAAGTAGATTAAAAGAGTTAAAAACTCTTGCGTTCCATAAGATCAGAAACCAATTAAAAAGAGATTGTTCACAGACTCTTCAAAGCATATGGAGAGATTTTTTGTGGTGCTTTATTTGGAACAGGTATTTGTGGTGCTTTATTTGGAACAAGCTAACTGTGAGCTAACCCCAGGATACATGACATAAAGATTTGAAACAGCTTGTTAATAGAAGAAAACAAGAGCAACTGCATTCAAAAAATTAAAACAAATCTATTATGGAAAGCATTTTATTGTTGAAATGAAAGCAATTCAAAGAATAAGATCAGAATTAATTTTAATATTGAGTTACGTATTACATTGAATAATAATTTGCTGCTTATTTAGTTAGAATAGAAAGTTAGCTGTTAAAGAAAGGAATATTTAAAAAAAAAAAATTATGATCCCTGCATTGAGTGACATTGAATAATAATTAATCAACTGTTTTATTTATTGTGAAAAGGTTTAAAATTAAGCATGAATATAAACTTCAAAAATCTGTGAAAGTAAAAGACTATGAAATCAGAAATGCCTATAATGGTGTGACATTCTTGTTGATTATGATTGATATTTTGTATTATATAAATCTGTGTATATATCTAGTCGTCTATGCATTCAGTAATCTATTCATAAATGTTTCACAAATGTATTGTAAAATAATAACATATTTTTGCTAGTCAAAATGAATCATAATTTATTATTTTAAACTGTTGATGGATTTCATGTATATCTTGCAGATATATTGTGTAAATGTTGAGAGAATTATGCATGGCTTAGAGTATTTAAGCTGCACTGGACCAAAATAATAAAATCAGCATAATAAACAAATATATTTTACTAGATGCTATGTATATATATATATATTTTATTATTTGATTTAATAAAAGTCGAAAAAAATTTAATAGCAAGGTATACGAATTTCTGTATCATTTTAAGAATTTTACAAGCCAAATTGNACAGCTGGTTTCGGTGGTTTCAGAGAGGTTAGACATCCGTGTTAATAATATTCAGTTTATATTGCTTTGAGTTTCATACAAAAACCCTGTTTTTTACTTTGTTGAATATGTCAAATTTTGTGGTAAATAAGCAGCATTTTCGGGAGGTTTTATGTTTCTACTTTAATTGGAAGAAAAGTGCAGCTGAAGCGCATCGAATGCTTGTAGAAGTTTATGGTGACAATACTCCAACAGATAAATCATGTAGGGAATGATTTCGACGTTTCAAGAATAGTGAATGGTGCTGTATACTATGAGCTGCTGCAACCTGGCGATTCCATTACGGGCTATCGGTATAGGCTACAATTGATTCGTTTGAACAGTGCATTACAAGAAAAACGACCGGAATATGAGCAAAGATATGACAAAGTTATTCTTTAGCATGATAACGATCCGCCTCGTGTCTCAAAAGTTGTAGAAAATTATTGGGAAACGCTCAAGTGGGATATTTTATAGCACCCGCCGTATTCGCCGGACATTGCTCCTTCTGATTACTGGTTATTCCGAAAGATGCAGCATAATTTGGCAGGTCACCGGTTCGGCTCTTTCGCAGAAATCGAAAATTGGCTCCTAACTTGGATCGCCTCAAAAGACGAGAAATTTTTTTTGAGATGGAATTCGAAAATTGTCAGAGAGGTGGGAAAAAGTAGTAGCCAGCGATGTTCAATACTTTGAATAATCTGTTCATTTATTTTGTTCTGAAATAAATGCATTTTTGATCACAAAAAAAGTGGACCGAATTAATTTGTTCTCTCAATATGATGTTAATAAGTATCAATATAAATGTGTGCCAATATCTTTTACATCAGTTTCATAAATAAGTCATTATTATGAAAGTGTTTCTTTGAATATCAAATTCAACATTAAATTTAAAAAGTATAGATGTTTTTAAAAAGTATAGTTTGTTTGTTATATTAGAAAATGTTAAGAGTATATATTTGCTGGAATAATCTAATTATTTTAAATGTATAATTCAGCTTATTTTCTCTTATGCATGTGGGAACATTCCAAATTAAAATGTGTCTGCAGATTGAGTGTTGAATTTTTTTGAATATATTTCATACACTTTTAAAATGACCACTAACTGAATGTTGATATTTTCATAGATATTGTTGATATGAACGTTCATATTCATTTTAATAGAATGTTAATATGAATGTTTATATTTGATATTTTCATAGATAAATAAAATAATAATTTCTGTTTGATGCAGTCTTTACAGAAGAGTAATTTCAGAATATTCAATGATAGTAAGAATTATGTTCCGAATTAATTATTTATCTGATTTATTGGATATTAAAAATAGTTTTAATAAAAATTTTGGTTTCAATTGTTTAAGGGAAAAGAAAGCAATCAATAATCTTTGATGAGAAACTCTATACCTATTGTGCTCGAAGACATTTTTAACTAGAGATTGCATAATAAACTGAACTCAAGATTTATAACGAATGTAAAAAATATTATTGCAATGACTGCCTAAAGTATTTAAAATTATGATAACTAGAGGAATATGTTCATCTATTTTTGGGTAA